GCAAGGAATGCTGTGCATCCTGTTTATATCTCCCACATCCCCCATCTGATTCCAATGTTCTTCATTGTTTCACTTTTTTTGATCTCTCTGTGAATGCTTGCCTTTAGTGAGTTCTTCATAAAATGGTCTTTTAGGCAAACTTACATATGGCATTTGAACAATATGGCCAGCTCATCAGAATTATACTCTCTGCAGTAGAGTTTGAATGCTTGGCAGGGCAGACAGAGGTGTATGGGTGTTCAGGGAAGACTAGTACCTCTGGTGTTAGGGCTGCCAAGACCTTTTCAGGGGTGCTTTCCAACTTTGTTGTCCACCTGCCATGGTGACACTCTCACCTGTGGTTATAAGAAGCTGTAGCATGCATAGTGGCCACATACCTATAAAACACTTCAGCAGACTGGCTAAACCAAATTGAGAGTAATCGATGGGCCTCAAACCTCTGAGTTAGGGGGGTATCTACCGCAAGAGTGTGAAGACTTCTGGGGGGAAGGAGGGAAATGGGTGAAGGTGAACAATTTCTTTTTTTTTTAAGGCAATTGGGGTTAAGTGACTTGCCCAGGGTCACACAGCTAGTAAGTGTCTAGTGTTTGGTCTGAGGTCACATTTGAACTCAGGTCCTCCTGACTTCAGGGCCAGTGCTCTATCCACTGTGCCACCTAGCTGCCCCCGAATGTGAACAATTTCTTCCAACAAGTCATGTAGGTGGTAGAAAGCAGACACTATGGGGCACTTAGACTCTGTAGGGGTGGGGAACCTGAGGCCTTGAGGCCACATGTGGCCCTCTAGGTCCTCAAGTGCTGCCCTTTGACTGAAATCCCCTTGATAATAGGATTTGTTCTGTAAAACTTTGACCCAGTCAAAAGGCTGCACCCAAGGACATAGAAGGCCACGTTTGGCCTTGAGGCCAAAAATTCCCTACCCCTGATAGAGCTTAGTTAGATTTTGAAGATGCCAAAGTCATTCAATGGATGCTGAGCCATCACAAGTAGTGTTGATTTTTTATTTTTGTCTTGCCACTAGACTCTGATGACTCTGGAAGAGTGAGTGAGGCCTACAACTTTGAGCAACTCTGCCTCACTTAAATCCAATTTGTGTACAGGTTAAAAGACATCACCGATACTATTTTACCATTTTGCCCCAGAAAGGAAAATAGACAGAAGTTCAGATACAGATTACAGTGTGGTGAAGGGAAAAACTTTTTAACAAATCTAGCTCTTCAAAAGTCTCAAGAGCTTGAAATCTTTGAAAGGTGCAACCCTTGTGGATTGTATGTCAAGGCTATGTTGTAGACAGATCCTTGTCCAGATCTGGGTTTAACTAGATGATTGCTGATGTCCCTTTCAACATTGAAATTTTCTTATTTCATACCTCTGAAATCACAGAATCAGAGTCTTAACATTTTCCAAACTGATTTTGATATGAAGTACTTATGACCTGAATTATTTTGATAAAATCTATAAATGTTCATCTGGAGTGGGGTTGGGAATATAGGATATATTGATATGACAGCTGCGGATATTTGAGAACAAAGCAGAGGAAATTTTGCCAGTTTTCACAATAAATTGGCTTATATGACAGACATTTTGATAATCCAAAATTTATTATGTAAGAAAAATATAGCTAATATTCAAGTTTTGTCATGGAACCACTATTCACATTAGGTGGAACACACAAGAGTTGCACAAAATTGATTTGAGAACTACAAGTATGGCCCAATATTTTACAGATGTAGCGAACTGAGGTCCAGAGAAACTTTAAGTTGTCTAGTTATTCAACTAATCATTTACTTTTTTTTTTCATTTTGCTGACCTATTATTTTTAAGAGTTTGAATGTAATCCAAACCTCTATGTTCTCTGCCTTTTTTCAGCTAATGTTATCTGGCGGTTATTCATATGGCTGACTTCCCTGCTCTCTCAGTTTTGATCAATTTTATTTATATCTTGATATTATTCAAGCATCTGCCTCTCCCATCAGTATTCATACTTTCTAGGTCTTCAGTTGCTAACATTTAAGTAACCATTCCCTACTTTTTCTCTCAGTATGTAGTGCTTTGATTTTTAAAATCAATATTATTTAAATGACTAACTCCAAGGCTCTCTCACTAGGATCATAAGGGCCCATCTGCAGAAAGAAAAAAATCAAACCTATTCTCTATTCAGTAGTGGGAAACAGGTTGAAACCAGTAGGAGATTTGTAAAGCTAAAAGCTTTTTAAGTTTTAAAAACACACAGAAGAGGAAAACAGTTTTGTGCTGGGGCACAAACAATCTTTTTCTAACAAGACCAGCCTGCCAGCACTGCACTATTACATTATTTCCTGAAACTTGATTTTAGTTTACCAGCTGCTTTCTGACTCATATTCTTCCATTGAAGGCTGCATCAAGAATTTCCTACTTTCAAAGTACTGGATGTGCTTAATCTGAAAAGACAGATGTGGGAGGGGTGTAAGAAAGGGGCTTCTCTAACTTTTACCTATAAATCAAAATCCACCTACTACTTTAAGGACATACTTAGGATCACATATTAGATTTGGAAGAGACCTCAGAAATCATCTAGTCCAAGCCTTTCATTTTACAGATGAAGAATGTGAGGCCCACGGAGGTTAAGTGACTTGACCAAGGTCAGAGTAAGCAGCAGAGTCCAGGTCCTCTGACTCCAGACCGCATGTTCTTTGCACTATACCACAATGCCTCTAGAAAGTAAATGGAGTAAGTATTGTGAAATGAGGTTTTACAGTGTGTGTGTGTGTGTGTGTGTGTCTTGGGGTGAGGTTCTACAGGATATTCTATTGGCATACCATTCATTCATTAATTAAACAAACACTGAGCATGTTTGCCTGCAAGAAATTAAAATTCAAGGAGACTTCCATTTACCTGTGTATTCTTACATGATTTTTTTTTAAAAAGACACTAATTTATCTCTTTGGATGGGATTTAATTTAGATTACAGGATCACAGATTTAGATGTGGAAGAAGTCTAAGAGGTCATCTAGATCAACTCCTTTCATTTAACAGATGAGAAAATTGAAGCTCAGGGAAGTTAAGTAACTTGCCTAAGGATACATGGACGTATAGAATGCTTTACATAAGATCATTAGAGCTGGTAAAAAAAAATTGTGTTGAAACACTAAGGGGGGAGGGAAGGAGGGGAAGGAGGATACAGGAAAAATGTTTTTCTTTCTTGATATCTTACAGGCCAATACTAAATCAGCTAGTTTCCCCCATGAGAATCAGCATAGCTAAGTGGATAGAGTGAACTTGGGGTCATAAACATCTGGATTTAAATCCTGCCTCGGACATTGTTTGGCTTTTAAAACCCTTCACGGTCTAGTGCCAGACTGCCTATCTAGATTTACTGCATATTACTCTTCTTCACACACTTTACATTCCAAATCGGCCTACTTTTTGTTCCCCTAAACAACAGTTTATCTTTGTAGATCTATCTTCCAGGCTTGGAATATACACTGCTGGCACCTTCTTAGAATCTCTATGATATTAAAATCTAGCCCAAGTGCAAACTCCTAGAGGAAGCTTATCTAGATCCTGCCCCCTAAAACACACACACACACACACCCACACACACACAGAGTCCCCTGGCTAGCATCCTACCCCTGTTATTTTGTATCCACCTTTCTATCTTGTGTTGTTTCCCAACAGATTGCAAATTCTCTTAAGTCTAGGGCTGTTTTCTTCGTGTGGTCAATGCCTAGCACAGGCCTAGCACAATGCCTGGCAGACAGTAGGCACTTGATACTTGTTGAATGAATGCACACCATCTTCCTTCCTATGGGCAAGTCATTTAACCTCAATGAGTATCAGTTTCCTGATCTGTAAAATAGGGATAATGCAGGTGATATCTACTTCACAGATGTGAAACTCAAGGGAGATAATGTAAAATACTTTGCAAACTTTAAAGCTCCATATAAATATAAATGCCAGTTATCAAGTTTGAAGAGAGTCCTTGTAAGACTGATAGTGTAGAACCAGGCAATCATATAGGTGTTCTCTGAATAGCCTTGTTGTTTTGTTATTAACTAGTTTTTTTTTGTTTTTGTTTTTACCAAGTACTCTCATGAAGTAAGACATAATTGCTAGTGAAAGGGAATTCAAAGCAAATGTGGGTGGTGACCGTAGCTAGTAGTGTGAAATAGAACTTCATTAAAGCTACCCATTCTTCTAAAAGTGGCCAGCAAGACTCCCGTACTAGAGGAACCAACATAGGTATTAGTTTGTTTCAGTGGAGGAGGCACTGGCCATCTCATTTTTCCTTATAAAATACACATATAAGATCGCAGCAACAGGGGTTGAAATATACCTGAGAATGGCTTTATACTCTCTGGGATGGCCAGGGTAGACTCATTCCTATCCAACTCCCAACATCAGCTAAACCAGAACAATAGATTTAGGGGTAAAGGGACCTTGGAGGTGATGTCTAAAAAAGAGTTTGTTGTTCCCTGATTCATAAGGTCCATTTCCATGCAAGTTCCAAGTTTTGGCTAAGTTAGAATAATAAATTTAGGGCTGGAAGGAATCTAAGAGGTCGGTAGTCCATTCATCTTTTCCATCAGATTAAAATTTTTGAAAACACTTGGAGCTCACCCTTCCCCCCACCCCTTGTATCTTCAGAACTCAATATATTAGCCCATCAGGAGGGGCATTTAATATATGCTTGCTGATTGACTGGCTATTAACATTTGAGAAAATCGAGAATTCCTCATTAGACTATGGACTCCTTCGGAGCAGGGACTGTTTTTTGGCGTTTTTTGTAACCCTTACCTTGGCATAGTGCCTGAGACAAAGTAACAGATACATATGGAATGACTGTTAGAATTCTGATAGTTGAGGCTCTTGGAGGTTACCGAGCTGGTATCTAATTAGAACCCAGATCTTCTTGACACCAAACACAGGACTCTCACCATTCCACAATAAAACATAATCTTCAAACACACTTTATAAAACACCCTAAGAATATACAGCAGGGGAGGTGTTTCGAGTCACGTGTTCGGAGGGTGTCCACCAATCGGGGCATGGCTGGGTCTCCGCTTTGCAGGCCTGACTGTCGGAGGCCAGAGCCAAAGGGAAAGTTGGGCATGTATTCCGTCAGGAGGTTTAGGTGAGGACCGGTGGCCGCCACCGACTCCTGCCCCTCAGTCCCCCCTACCCCGCCGGCAGGCATCATGAAGCTGCCCACTGTCCTTCCCTCTCCCGTCCATGCCTCGCAAGAAGAAGAGTAATGGCCCACGGCGCAAGGCTCAACTGTCGTTCCGGGAGCGGCCGCTGGAGGGCCCCAAGCACGGCGGAGGCTCCCCGAGGCCCTGCCCGGCGCCTTCGAGGCTCGCGCCCCTGCGGCCCGCCGACCGCGAGCCCCGCCCGGCCTGGGTGTCGCCGCAGTTTAAGAAGCCCCTGGGCAGCTGGCTGCCTGTGCGCCGCAAGCGGCCGCCGCCGCCCCCGCACCGCCGTCTGCCTTTCCGGTTCGGAGGCCCAGCTCGGCGGCGGCGCTCCCTGCGAAGGGCGCGGTCCTGCTGGTTTCCGCCCTTGACCTTTAAGAGCCTCCGGCCGGGGCTGGGGACAGGCCCAGGCCCCAAGCCTTCCTCCCGGGCGGCCGCCGCACAGCAGGAGAACCCGGACCTGGAGGGGCCCGAGGAGGCTCGAAGGCCGCCGACCCTGTCAGCCAGGCCCAGGAGCTGCGCCCCTCGACGCCCAAAGCCGTCCGACCTGGAGACTCGAGGCCTGCCCTCGACCTTGGGCGATGCTGCTGCCACTCCGAGGGAGCAAGGGCGGGGGCGCTGCCCCCTCCACCTGGCCCGGCCGCAGACCCCTCCGCCGGGCTCGCCGCCGCTGGTCGTGGACACTCCCGAAGAGAAATACGGGCTCAAGGTCACTTGGAGAAGACGATACTACCTGGTCACCTACCTTAGGAAGAGAGGGAAGCTCAGCCTGAGCCAGATTTTTGTGTCGAAGTCAGAAGCTCTCAACCCCTGGATAGGACCTCCCCTACCCTGCCCCCAACTTGGTTCCGCTGCTGAGCAAAGGTGTAAAGCGCTTTGTCAACCTTAAAGCGCTCTATGCTCTATAAATGTATAGCCATTGTTTTTATTCCCGGGTAGCTGCGACACTGACCTGGGATTTAGAGTCCAAAAGCGTGTCTTTGAGGCCCTGAGTGAGAAGTGGCTTCTGACCATACATTCTGTAAATGGTTAATGGCCTTAACCTCCCTGTGGCTGGTTTTGTTCAACAAGACCTGCTGCCTCCTCCTGTTTTTATTTGCTGCTGCTGCATATTATTTTTCTAACCTTTGGAGACATAAAGGGAAATGACATGAAATAATATGAATATCAGTTGAAGCTTTCGTGGTCTTTCCAGTTCTATTATGGAATATAAAATCCCCTAATCATCAAGGGAAATTACATTTTTATTTTCTGTGTAGACTCGGGCTCTTGTGTGCATAAGTTGTCCCTCTTGAGGACCTGATGCACTGCAGTTTTTATCTTTGTATCTCTATCACCTAAAACAGTGTGTGGAACAGAGTAGGCACTTAATAAATGTTGAGTGATGCAAAGGGGACTGAAAACACACAAAACCCCCCAAAACCCAAGGTTCCCTAACTTGATTCTTCAGCTTTCATGTGAGTAAGCCATATTTTTTTTACATTTTTCTTCCCGTTGATTATCTAAGTTGAAGGTGATTAATAGCAACTGGAGGAAAAATAGGAGAACTTATTTCCAACCGAATCTTTGCTTGGAGTATCAAGATAACTTTTGGTAAATGCTTAAAATGTTTGAAATAAACGTAGGAACCGAATGCTGCAGTAATTGGCAGTAATTAAGCAGTTATTTCATATTCAACAAAATCTTTTAGGTGGAGAAGCATTAGGTATCTTTTTTCACCTTGCCCCCAAATTACCTTGTATTTATTTGTATATTTTTATATAAACTTATATGTGTACCTGTCGCTTCCCCCAATAGACTATGAGTACCTTGAGGGCAGAGACTTTCATTTTTTACTTCCTATCTCTACTAACTCTGCTTGGCACATTATAAGGGCCCAATACCTTCTTTTTTGATAGTTGGCATGTGTGTCAGAAAAAAGGCAGCGCCAACATGGTGAGTAGAAAGGGTGGGGTTTGGGATGATAGTAGGAAACATTAGCTTGATAGACTAGAGAAGTCTCTAGAGAGGGACTTGTTGGGGAAGTCTGTAGGGAACCAGCTGGGAAGATAGTGCCAGCATTTGAGAGAAGATTCAGTAGGGTTAGAGGAGAGTGGTAGAGAAGAGCGAACTCTATTATATGGGTGATTATAAACTATAAAAGTAGAACAGCTTTTAGACTTGAGGAACTGTGTCTCCTAATTTTGCCACAATAGTCTCAACATCAAGAAAACAATGTTCACTTAAGGAAGCCTTGCAAAAGAAATTCTTGTTGAATGACACAAAGGGAACAAAACAAAACAACAACAACAAAAGGTACCCTCCTTTTAATTCAGGAAAATCTAGTCACCTTATGGTGATGTTCTAGCAGTATCCATAGAAGAAATTATTGAACAATTCAAAGTGGGTCTGGAAAAACAATATGGTTTCTTGCTGAGCGTTAAGTGGGTGTCAGAAGCTTGAGAAAAACTATACAGCTGAGTCTTCTCTTGCTTAGGAAAATGCTTTCTCACCCTCTTGACCTTTCAGACTCATTGGATTCTCCTAAATGTCAAACTCATAACAATTCTTGAAAAACCATGTTTTATCCCCCCATTCACTCATTATTTTTTAGTCCCACCTTAAATATGCAACATTTCCATTTAATCAGGATTTATTGGGCACCTACTGAATGTAATGCATTGTCTGTCATCTGAATAAGAGTCCAAGCTTTGTCCCTGCCCTTAAGTGTCATATAATACAACAATATGTAAGTGCTAAATAAGAAAGCTCTCCAATGGCATTTATAAGGTAATTGAAAATTGTCATCCTTTAGAAAGAAAGTTATGGTATAATGAATGTCTTCCACATTTAGAGCACTAGAAGAAAGTTGCTTCCATTGTCCAAGTGGCAAATCTAAATGTTGCCCTCACTGAATAGCATCTTTATTGGGTTCATTGGTGTCTAATCCTAAATGAAGGGAGCTGGCACTCCATTGGGGAAAATCTGCTGTTGCAGTGTTGAACATCAACACTTTGCCTCAGGTCCTGATGGATATAGCCCAGAATCCTAAACCTAAGAGCCTTGGGAATACTAAGTAGTGTTCTCCAGATTACCTGCTTCTGAACTGGGTTTTCTACAGTCATCTCTGAGGGAGCAGTCCTCAACTGAAGAAGGTACTTCACCACCCCAAGCACCAACTTCCAATAATGGGCAGAAAAAGGACTTGGGGATAGGTATACTCTTCCTCCTTCCTTGCTTTAATCCTAGCCCCTGCAGCCATCATCCTGGACTCTACTGGAGAGGGGATACAGTCCAGCAGCTGCTTCTGTTCATGCTGTAGCCACAGATAAAGAAGAAAATTTTTGCCGCCAATCTTTGGCATTGTCAAATCGTTCAACGTTAGAAAGTGATACAATTTGATAAGTGGAAATGAGCCTATACTCTGAAGGACTATGGGACCTTTCCATTTGACTTATAGCTGAAACTACTGTGTTATCTCCCACATTAGACTGTGAGCTGTGAGAGTAGGAATTGTCTTGCTTTTTTAATTAGTATCCCTAGCATTTAGCACAGTGCTTTTATATAGTAAGCATTTAATAAATGCTTTTTCATTCATTGTACAGATCCAAGTGCCTCCATGAAGGTTTCTCTTGCTTAGTTCTCACTGAACTCCCTTTCCTATATTGTATAAGTTTGTATAGCACTTATAGTCTATGTCACAATTTGGCATTTAGTTGTCATTATTTGCTATTGTGTACATGTATTACTCTTATCTTCCCAACTAAACTCCTCCCAAGGACCACATCTCACACTAAGGTGTTCTTGACAATGCCTAGCACAATACTTAAGCTGGGGCTAGAAAAATATTTGTTGATTCATTGAATGCTATTTCTGAGGTTTCTGTTGCCATTATGAAAAAAAAATAAGGCAACAAACGAGGAGGGTTTATGTCTTCTTGCTTGCTGCTATTTATTGTATTGAAATTAAGTTTGCAATTATTTTCCAAAAATTCTGGTATTGTATCCTTTCAATAAAGTTTTGAGGGAAACACTTTTTTTTTTGCATTTCTTAATAGATAAGAAATTGAAATTGAGAAAATAAGCATATCTTCTGGAAGAGTCAGATTTTGGGTTATTTTAGAGTGTTAATCTTATAAAATTAAACTATAAATGATAAGTTGGAAGTATACAGTTGTTAAGATGCACTTGGATTTACCACGGATGTCATAGGGGAGGGCATCAGATAAGTAAGTTTGAAGACCATTCATTGTAGTGATTTTGGAACTTTGGAGCATCCAATTGTATTTAAGAACCCTATGGGGGTGGGGGGAAGAGAGGAAAGCATCAATGGAAGTATTTGTAATCTTAGTAGAGGCATTTTGGGGTGATGTATTCAGGGTCAGGTATGCATTTTTAAAAAGGTGAAATTTAGTGTATCTTGGTCCCTGTAAAAGGAATGGGAATTGTAGATCAGTCAAAATATTTTTCTAGAATCATATGATTCTTAAAGGTGCATGATGGCTGTGAGGTATATTTCATCTAACATGCCTTGTGAACTCTGTAGGGTAGCAATCTTATCTTTGAATACTGGATGCTTATGGAATGCTACAGAACTGTAATGCTCCATAAATAGAAATAGCAGCTCTAAAGGAAATAACTTTCACAGGAGGTATATAGCACAATAAATGTTATTTGTAAAGGTGTATTAAAGGGGAAAAAACACTAGAGTCAAGGAAAAAAAATCATCTTTCCCCAAGTTCAGGAAAAGGTGAAAAAATTTGTTGCTTCGCTGAAATTTCCTATAGCAGTTTTTTGAACTAAAGCTATTATTTTGGAATAAAAACAGTAACTTTCATTGTCAAAATTGCGAATTTCTGGCAAGAGGAAATGTTTTAGATAAGATTGTTTTCAGGGAGACGGGACTATAATTCTGCCTTTAACAATGGTACATACACACATGTGGATGTGTGTACATACACACGTAGTGGGTGGTCCTGTGCCAGCATCTCCCATATTTCATACTATTGATACTAAATACCATATTGATACTAAAGCTCTTCAGAGAGACCTTGAGAGTATCCTTCTATCGCTTCTGCCCACCCTGTGAGTGCTTGCCTTGCAAAAGTTCTCTGTAGAAGTGTGCCTGCATCAAAAAAGGCACTGTACTCCACAAGCAAAACAGAATCATAGTAGTGCAAAGGAAATGAGCTGCACAAATCCAGAGATGTCTCCATCCCAAATGTTCTAACACACTACTTGTGCCCCAGCCTTCAGAACTTGAATTGGACTGATCAACCACAACTGAACAAGCTATGTATGCCCTGACCTCAACATTGTAGTATCATTAGCACTCTTTGAAAATGAAAGATGAGCAACATACATACATGCACGTACATGCATATGTGTATACATAAATGTGTATATTATATTTGTTGTATATCATTACATGTAAATTCTAAATACATATAGCTATATATTCCATATATTTGACTTGTATGTTGTATGTATGTATATACATGTTGAAAATAATTTAATGGGACCTGAAAAGTGTTCCATTTATATCAACACTTTTGAGAAATTATATAGAAGCCACCATCCCCCCAACCCCCACACACAAGGTAGGTGCTTAGGTGGAGGTCAGAAGAAGTGATATAAGGATACTCTGAAGGTCTCTCTGAAGAATTTTGAACTCTGTTGTAAGAAATGGGAGACACTGGCACAGGACTGTCTAGCATGCATGTCCACATCAAAGAAGACCCTGTGCTCTGTGAGCAAAGCAGAATTGAAGTAGCTCGAACCAAACAGGAGATGCACAAATTTGGAGATATCTCCTCTCCAAGTGTTCATAGGGACTATTTGTGCCCCACTTGTGGTAGAGCCTTCCATGATCGTATTGCTCTGATCGGTCAGAGTTAGACACACTGTATCTTGACCCCAACAAAGTGATGTCATTTTGGCCCTCTTCGAGAGCACAGGACAACAGCCCAGAAGCCTCCCTTTATTTTATTCATTTGTAAATAAAACAGACATTTGAAAGATATATTATTTGCAATGAAGTTTTAAAGGAGTAAAGTAGCAACATAGAATTGTGCCTGGCACAGCATAAAGATTCCTGAACCTACAGTCAAGAGATTAGGTTCCAGATTTGATATTCCCAGCAGTGTTGCCTTTATCAAGTTGTTTAACTTCTCTAAGCCTGGGTTCCTCATCTGTAAAATGAGGATAATCAAATTTATACTACCTACCTCAAGGCATTATGATGTGCAAAGTGAAACCTTAAATTCCTGTGTGAGCAATTAGCCTACAAAAAGGGGAATAGTTTAGAGCTTTCAAAGCAATTATTCTGTTTCACAACCAAATCTGCTCTGCCAAATCTGTCCTAACTGAGGTTTACCTGAATGTTCTTGACTCTACATCAGTGTTTTTCAAAGTGAAAGTGTACCCTGGTGTACCCCTGTGCCTGGGAGCTAGGGGATAGGGAAGGTGGGAAGGAAGGAGAGGAAGAAGCAATGGACAAATATGAGATATTAAGTACAATTCCCACATAAATATATTTTTTTTCAACAAAATCCAAGTTCAAATAAAATTTAACAAAAGTGAACCAACATGACCAGTTCATTCTGCACGTACAAGAAATATGGAATATACGAGAAGGAAATTATTCATTAAAAAAAACCTGTTAAGTGCTATGTGACAAGCATAGTACAGGATTGGAGATAAAGGTGTAAAAAACAATACTATGTACCTGGCACTGTGCTAGGGATACAAAGAAAAGCAAAAGACAGTCCTTGCTCTCAAAGAGCTCACAATCTTATGGGAGAGATAACATGTAAATAATTACGTATAAGCCATACATACATATACACATGTATGTGTGTTATATGTGATAATCAACAGAGGGAAGACATATATGGTCTAGATTATAAGTGTAGAAAAGGAAATTTCTAAGTGCTCCATTTACATTTAGGCCCCGGATAGACATTTTAATCAAGATTTCCATATTAAAATTATCCATGTAGAAGTTGACACAATGAAATAAGACTATTCAGCTGGAAAAGAAAAGTGTCATGTGTCAAACACACAAATGAAAATGGAATAAATAACTGCTCAGAAGCCTACTTTAAAGGACTGAGATGATCACAAGCTGTATAGTGAGATATCTGTTCATTCACAGTTCTGAACAAACAAGGAATGAAGGATCAAAGGAAAGAGGGTATGGTCAAGCACTGCTCCTGGGGGAGCATTAAGTGTAATTCCAGTGATTGGGATGTTCAGTAAATAATTGGAGATGCTACACTGGAGATCAGGAGAGAGGTTAGGGCTGGATAAAGCTGAGAACCATCAGCATAGAGATTATAATTGAATAGGAGCTGATGAGATGACTATACATATTTTGTATCCAGTTATCTGTATCCTCTCTCCTCTCTAAACTTCTTCAAGAGAATATATGGCCCCAGAGCCCTAGACAATGTCTTGCATACTCAGAACTTAATAGCTGTTGAATAGAATTAAATAATGTGGTGACAGTCATTCTGACTTAGTGAAAAGTATGTATCATGGGGCAGATTTTAAGGAATGGACCTTTATAATAAACTATACAACCAATATATAAATAAGTACTATCCAGGAAAGTAAGGTCAGTTAATGAAGATAATTTTTGGATCTACTTTACACAGTAATGTGTGATAACACACAATAGGCTTTTAGCATTAAAAAATTACAATGTTAAAATTTTCAAACATTGAAGACTAGCACTTTAATTTTTTTATTTTTTGCTTTGAAGTTAATATTATTTTCATTTTTTAAAACACAACACTGAAATTTACTTAGAAATGAATTTTTCAAACTTTTTATTTCCTAAGAATCATGTATACTATGACAAATTACTGTCAATTCTAAATTATGGGAAGTACTTTACTGTAAATTTCATTATAGTTTTATACAAGTGGGGAATAGTCATTTTCCCTGTTTTGTCATTGGTATGAATTTTGTATCAATCATTTCCATGTCAGATTTCAGTTACTTAGTGAAATCTATATACACACATTCACTTGGGTCATGGATAAAATAGCTTAAAAATACTTTAAAGGGTTATATGTGTGTTATAATCATTATAACAATAGTATTATTAAGGTTGACAAAAATAATACTTTTAATGTTCTATAATATTTTGGTAATTTTGGCAATATATACTTATCATTTAGACTCTAATTATAAGTCAAATGTCAATTTCTAGGGGAATAAGCTAACATTTAGTAGCATAATTTAAAGAATATTTAATAGAAACAAAAATATCTATGTATTTCCCTTGCTTTATTGTAAAAGTTGATTACTCATTCTTTTTTTGTTATCAGGTGGTATTTTTGAATATGTGGAATCTGGCCCAATGGGAGCTGAGGAATTAGCCTTCAGATTTGCTGTGAACACAATCAACAGAAATAGAACCTTACTACCTAATACCACCCTTACCTACGACACTCAAAAGATAAATCTCTATGATAGTTTTGAAGCATCCAAGAAAGGTAACTTAGCATACTTTTTTTAAATCTTTATGTTTTTCTAGAACTAAAGTCTATAACTATGCCTAACAGTTTTCTTAACTCCAGTCTGTGGGTAACTCCTTAGTAATATAGACTATTTTGATCTTTATTAAAGATCTCTTTACACAACACAGAGCAGCAACATTCTAATTCAATAACTGGCCTAAGTGATGAGGATTGATAAACTTTTGAAACCAACTTCATTTAAGGGCTAAAGGAATATTTCCTATGACTGTATAAAATAAAACAACAACAACAACAACAAAATCCGAAACTAACCTGGGACTAAACCTGAACACAAAAAGCTCTTCCTCAGAAGAGTTGATTGAAATATACAAGCTGACTGCATTGTAATGAAATTTACACTTTCCAGTTGATTAATGATACATGGATTGAAATGTTTCTGTCTTTGATTTTATCTCTTTTTTTCCCCAAGCCTCTGAAATACCAAAACGACCTTTTCAAGAGCTTGTGAATTCTTTTTAAACTGTCAAGCACTTTATAAATGTGAGCTATTGTGTCCTCAAGTCTGTTCTTTACAGGTTTTTTTCCCCAAACCAATTATATTGCTACTATGTTCTTAATTTATCTGTTCTCCCACCAAGAATCTCTTGTTCCAAGTGATTTTGTAAAGTTGAGAAAGCTAAAAACTCCATAATATCCTTGAAACTTTAAGAGGAATCTTTAAAACAAACAAATAGACAAAAAGCCAAACCTTAAGTATGTATCTTTTATGTCCAATTAAAAACTATTTGGTTTTTCTTTCTATTAATAGAAGTGAATGCTATGGTGAATCAATATGGTCCAGTGAAAGTTAAGAATATGCAGGGAGTAAGATACAGTTTATGGATCTGTATGGAACATTTTATGTAACTGCACTATTCACAAGTTTGTTATGAAAAAGTTCTTTGTCAAACATAAAGTGCTCTACAAAATGTGAGCTATTATTATAATGCTCCGCTAATTTCCGTCTCCAAAGCCATATTGGGATATAGTAGTAATTTTGGGTCCCTAAAGGCTGTCAGAAGAGTGTAAGATATTACAAGCCCTATTTTACTGGGCAGATTTTGAATATAGACCAGGTGACTGATCATGTCTAATGTCCAAGGAGGACTAGCTACTTAGATTCAGTGAACTTTATCTTGAAGTTGGATGCAGGGTGATTTTTGGGGGGCATAGTAACTGTCAAACAACATTTTTACAGAGGTAGAAAGGCTATAATCTTTGTTGGTGGAGGGAGTACTCACACCAAGAAAATAATAGATTCCTGAAGTGTTGAAGTAAATAGTATCATTGTATTTGAATTTCATGTTCTAAGGCTTTATTTTGTGAAAAGAGAAAAAAAAACACATTGGGAATATGACGGAATGAGAAATGGCCTTGGATCTGAAGGGACCTGGGTTCAAGTCCAACCCCTAGTATATACTAACTTTGTGGCTCTGGGCAAGTCATTCTCAGTACTCTAGGTTCTAGAGACCCTCAGATGCATAGAAGGTATTAACTTGTTTTGGCAGAGAGAGTTTCCTCACCTGGGAATTCCTCATACCAGTGAAACCATAGTTCTGGTCCCTTTCCAAATCCCTAACTCTATTTAATCTGTACATCTAAACATAAAAGAATAGGAAAGAGTTTGCATTTTTAGCTTATTTAATTATGAGAATGACATTTTTATAGGTCTTTGAAGTTTGCAAAGTGTTTTGCATGCATTATGTCATTCTAATCTCATGACTAATGATATAGGTCAATATGAGGTATGTGGAGTAGATAGCAAGATCTTACTATCCTCAATTTAGAGATGATAATACTGGCTCAGAGAAATTGTGTCTTATTTATGGTCACACAGCTAAGTATCAGCTGGGAAATTTGAACCTATTTCTTCTTGACTGTAGGCCCAGCATTCTATCTACTGTGTTGCAAAAATACTGAGTAATGGACCTGAGTTTCAATATTGCTATTTCATTAAGTAACTAGGTAGACTTTACCTTCTACTGACAAGTATTAAGGTAAACATTTCTGGAGGAAATGGATTATTGTAATATTTTTTAGTTCAAAATAATTTTATATGGATTTTGGCTTTTTGAAGTGGCTACTTTTAAGATACTTCATAAACTTGTGATTGAATAGAATCCCTTAAATGAAAGTAGGCATTGCTGTTTATATATTCTTGTGTTGGTCCAGACAATTTCTTCAAACTATGCTTATTAGCATTAATGGGTACTGTGTAAAGGGTCTGTGTTTCTCAAGGTGAAAATGTGTCCTTTTGTTTGCAACCAGCTAGTATTTATCAAAGCCCACATTTTGTCTGCCCTCAGAGTTCATCTCTTTGTGAATGTGAAATCATTTTACACATTTCAAAACCATTTTTGTGTGATGGAAGGTTTGGAGGGCTGTAACCAGAGGCTAAAGGTTACATTGAAATGCTTATATTTGTCCTCATGGCTGCAATATCAAGCTTATGCAGGCAGGCTGCAGAATTTGACTAGTGACATAGTTCATGATTATTTCCATTAAGGAAATGTAAATGTAAAAGCATGCTTAGAACAATTAATGCTAAAGAATACTGAGTGTGAGTAGAGATGAAATATTAATGGATCTTTCAAAATATTTCTCCTTTAAATATCAATCTCAAGGCAGGCCAGAATATTATCAAAAAGAACATGATGCTATCCTGGAAATATTTAAGGAAACTAGAGCATCAAGTGATGAAAACATCAAATTTTCAAAATATCAGACATCACTGAAAACCTTTTTCAAGAATTCAAAATTTACTAGCAATAAATTACCCTTCTTGGTTTTTGCATGAATTTAGTCTGATCACAAATAAAAGCTCAATCCTGATTTTAAGAGGGAAGATACCATGAATTAAATCTCATCCCATGGACCTCATCTGTACTGAGTTTCTGCTAATTAAAATTAGGGTATTGGGGATTAATATAGAGGAAGATAATATAAGAGCTAAGTGTAGCATTTTTTTTGAACTCTGTGGATGCTCCATAAATACTTATGGATGAATATGAAGAGTTTGTACAATAATCCAAATGCTACACTAAATATCTTTATTCATTAATACAATTATATTTTAAAGACAAATAAATAAGTAGCTTCAAAGTTTTTAATTTTATCTTTTCATTCTATATATCATTTCTAACATGAAATATGAATCACTTCATTAAGTGAATCTTTTAATACCTAAAAATTCAGCTTCTTAACTGAAATATTCTTACACTAATTTCTTGGGGACATTTTTGTTAACATGCTGGTCTATAATATTTTAATATTTCTTGTTTTTAATTTTGTAAAAAATCTGGCGAAGGCCATTTATTTTTAACTTGACTAAGAGAAAGGCTGTTTTTCAGTCTGTTGAAAGTTTTCATTTATATAATCAATTTATAAGCATTTATTAACTGAATATCTCGATTGAAGATCCACATGTTCCTAAAATTGCTGGATAGTTGCTAATATTCAACCTTTGCCCTATGCCCTATGGCTGAGGCTGTATATCTATTGATGCTAGCTTGTATCTGTGAAAGAGTGTGGAGTTAGTGGCTTTTGGACTATTCGTTTTTGAATTTACTGTCTAAAATAAATATATTATTTCAAATTCAGGGCTATTCTCAGAAAAAAACATACATATATATATGCATAATGTATACACATATATGTCTATATATACATACATACAGCATAGTACCTATTATATGTACATTTGTGTATATGCTGTACGTATATATGGACTAGGATATTATAAATATTTGACAAAAATGTAAAACTCTCCCTGGGTATTGCTGAATTTGGATGTTGTTGAGCTCACTCTCTTTCTTCCTCCCTTCTTTCAAAGTGACTGTAGAGGATTTAGCTGCAGGTGTCTGGATGTTTTAAATCTCTACGTACAAGACAAATGTTAACAATGGAAAAACTAGAAGTGAAATTAGTTCAATAGAAATGATACTTTAAAATTGTCATGAACAGAATAATGCAAGATTTTGCCTTTTGGCTCATGAGATTAATGCTTTATCTGCTGGCACATTGGTTTCTCTCCTCTCATCATTGACAGACTTCTATCTCCTCTTCAGCCTGTGATCAGCTGTCTCTCGGGGTAGCAGCCATCTTTGGGCCTTCGCACAGTTCATCAGCCAATGCAGTGCAATCCATCTGCAATGCCCTGGGGGTTCCCCACATACAGACTCGCTGGAAGCACCAAGTGTCAGACAACAAGGATTCCTTCTATGTCAGTCTATACCCTGACTTCTCCTCACTCAGCCGTGCCATTTTGGACCTGGTGCAGTTTTTCAAGTGGAAAACAGTCACAGTTGTATATGATGACAGCACTGGTAAGTTTAAGTAGCTTTTGTTGTTCTGTTTTTTATTTATGGATTTTTAAATGTAAAATTTTATTCAGTGTCTAATTTGTAGCATTGGTCTTTTGGTGAGTCAGATTAAATGGAATCCTCCTGATAAGCAAACAACTTGGTAAAGGAACAAGAAAACATCATAGTTCTCTCATTATAACACAAATTACAGTCATACAGTTGGTTTTGTGCTTAAAGGGAACTTTGTAAGCAGTATTTTGCATGTATAAAACAACAGCATTAGTATTCTGGTGATAGACAAGATGCTTTTAAGACCATATGTGGTTTTTTTTTCCAGTTCTGGGTTACACATTTTAAGTAGGACTGATAGATGCGTAGTTTGTTGAGTGAGGTCAAGGGCAAAATTAGGAGCAATGGGTGGAAATGGAAGAGAAGTAGATTTAGGGGAAGGACTTAAGGAGGAAAAAATCTTAACACATAGAGTTGTTACAAGTTGAATGGGTTGCCTTAGGAAGAGGTCTTCAAGGCAAGACTGGATGACCACTTGGATGTGGTATAGTATGGAGATTCTCACTCAGGTTCAGGTTGGAGGTGCCTTCCAGTCCTGAGATTCTGTAATGAATATTTTGAAAAGTTTGATGTCAATATGTGTCTCAGAGATGTAATTATGTTAAGGAGAGTTTTCCAAAGCAAAAACATATGACTATCTTCTGTTAGTAGACCACCACATTTTGTTTAAATGTCTGTGTAAAATTCTCACTTCTTATTGACATAATTTTATGGTCTAATAAGAGGCAATTTACCAAATGACATTCTGCTGTGTATTGGAAACTGAGGAACCTAACGAATTTTCTCTGAACTTATGCTGAGTAATTTAGTCTCTGCCTTTTTGTTGCAACATTCAGTCTATCGTTTTATATCTGGTTTGGGAGGCTATTCTGAGATATAGGTAGTTAGTAATTAAAAATTCACATCTGAATAAGATACTGAATAGTAATAAATTAGTAATGAATTTGATTTGAAGTACTTATCTGGTTATCAGTATCATGGGATAGTTCCATGATCACCTTTTTTTTTTTTTTAAATTTGCCCATAAAGTACTGGAGAATAGCAGTGACAAGAAGAATTTCACATACTACAGTTATAGAAATAACTTGACCTATAAAATTGCAGATCTGAGAGAATGGTCCCTGAAATTCCCTTTCTGCTTTCAACAACAACAACTATGGTGCCTATGAAATGTGTAACAGAAACACTCTGATTCAACCTACAACATATATATGACCATAAAGAAACTGACCTGTTTGCAAATATGCCTGACTTTAAAAAAAAAAAAATTAGTATGTGGACTCTCCTCATGAGAAAGTGGTTTGATTTAAAATTTTTAAAAAATGTAGCAATTTAAGAAATACTTACTGAGTTAAAAACAAACAAAAAATTACTGATTAAGCTTGAGCCCTTTTATACTCCTTTTTTAAATGGGTGCTTTTAAAGTTAAAGTGACTAAATTTTGGGCCCTTTGAAGATGTATTTAAAGTCACAGATTTAGAGTTGGAGTGACCCTCAGAGTCCAAATGGTCCAACTCTTTCATTTTTCAGAATAAACCGAGATCTAGAGATCTTAAGTGATTTGTGCAAAATCACACAGAAAGTAAGTGGCAAAGCTTAGATTCAAATCTTATGCTCTTAGTACTATATTTAGTGTGTTGTATTTTTACTTCATGCTATAAATTAAACTTTTCCCTGCACTTTGGCAGGTCCTATCTGCCTATTTAGAAGTGAGAAGCTCATTTACAAATAGGTTTATTTTTGCACATGGGCCTTAACATGCACATATGCACATATCAATTTATATAGAACATGTTTATTATATCTGAATCTAATTTATATAAATATGTGAATAAATAATGTTACATTCAATTGAACAAATGTATATTAAGTGGCTACTTTGTGCTAGACACTAACCATACAAAGCTGAAATACAACATTGTCCCTTCCTGCAAGGGAATATGCATATTATTGTTGAGTATGCTTATTTCCTAAAATAGGTAAGACATAATTGATAATGTTTATAGTGTTAAAAAAAGAGATAAGCAAAGAAATTTAAGAATAGTCAGGTGAATTGGTCTACAGGAAATGATGAAGCAAATTTGTAATTCTTTTTGAGTGTTCTACTAATTAAATTATTTTGACATTGCCCTTATAGGTATGTATTGAACTTTGCTGGCATACGTGAAATAGCATTTTCATTCTATACATGTGGTCTAATAGGCATCTTAACATAGCAGGACAAGGTACTGGACTTGGAGTCAGGAAGATTTGGGTAAGATTCATAAGATCATGGATCTAGATCTGAAAGGAATATTAGAGGTCATCGAGGCCAAAATCTGTCATTTTACAAAGTAAGAAACTGAGGATCAAGGAAGTTAAGTGATGGGCCCTAAGTCACGTAGGTAGTACAGAGGTATATAGCCAGGGTATGAATCCCACCTCTGATTTACAAGCTTATTTGATTCTGGTCAAGTCATTTAACTTTTGTATCTAATGATACTCTGTAGGATGTACTAAATCACAGGTAAGTTGCAATATGCATTGCTGGAAGCAAGGAGTTTCTTTACTCCCCCAAAATCACAGATCCTTCACAAAATCATGTATAGTCTCTGGGTTATACCAGTACATTTATGGTGAATATGAGGATATTGTTACGTGGATGTCTTTGGCAAAGCAAAGACCTATTCTGCTTCCAGATTATTTTTTTCATGAATCACCTTTAAAATAGTACTGTGCTAAAAATTAACAGCCATTTTGTGGTTGGGTGAACATGTATAAAATGTAAAGTGTGTTCTGGTCCAAATCTGAATCTTTCAAAACATTTTAAGCTATATTTGTATGAGTTTTTCTTCTAAGTTAATGTAGATCTTTGGGAAAACAAAAGGCCCTAATTACTTAAAATCTTTTTTAATGTCAACTTAGAGGAACATCTTAAACATTTTTAGTTGTAACCATTTCTTGGAAACTGCTCTCAGAAGAAAGAAGCTTGCTAATGTACTATTTATAAGTGGATGGCAATTTGGTGTATCCAATTGTGCATATTTTCAGCATTGTTTGTAATTAACTAATTGCCTGCTTGTAACTAATAGCATATACATTTGGTTAATTGAACCCACAACTGCCCACTTCTAATTTAAGTGGACCATTTTAATTTAAGGCCAATTATAAGTAGTCAGCTGCGTTTGAAGTGTTTACATGTGGATTTGAGGCTAGGACAGGAAGCAGAGGCACTTTAAAAAGTGAATCTAAATGTATCTATCAGCTCTAAGATTTCCTATTCTCCTCCCTTCCCCTCCTCCTTTTCCATCCTTTCCCTTCCCCTCACTTCCCTTCCCCAACTCTTCTCTTCTCTTCTGTCCTCCAAATAAGGGAGATAATATAGCCTTTTGGTTAGAGTATGGGCTGAGTGTCTGCAAATGAGTACCTGGGGCTCAGTTTACTCACCTGTAAAATGTGGAGACTAGATGACCTAAAAAATTCCCTTACATTTCTAAATCTAGACCCTTCAATTGGTTTCGTCACTTCTAATCAAAATAAATGGGTAAATGGCATGGCAGTTGGTCTTTGAATTGAAATAGACAATAGGATTCAATGGGAGGAGAGGTCAACCATGACCATGGAATAAAAGGAAGATATTTTGGTTGTTCAGTCATTTCAGTCGTGTCTGACTCTTTGTAACTCTATTTGGAGTTTGCTTGGCAGAGATTACTAGAGTGGTTTACCATTTCCTTCTCCAGCTCATTTTATAGATGAGGAATTGAGGCAAACCGGATTAAGGGACTTGCCCAGGATCACAGTAGTATTAAGTATCTGAGGCCATATTTAAACTCAGGAAGATTTCTTCCTGACTCCAGGCCAAGGACTCTATCCATGAGCCGTCTAACTGATTTTTTTTTAACCACAAACTACATTCGATAACTATTGTGAACAAAAATCTAAATGATTTCTAGTCTTTGTGTTTTGGGTTGATGATAAGACTTTGGTAAACCATTATACTTGTATTTTCTTGATCTCCTTTCAAAAGCAATTCATTATGTATTCTACCCATCCCATTTTAAATTCTAATTTATTTTCTTTAGTTTTCCAGTTGCTGCTTGATAATTATCCTTCTATAAGGTTTTTCTCTTGCCAACAAAAATCACTCACTCTACATAGATGCAATGAAATTATATGTTATAATGTTGGAGCTAGACAAACTATGAAAATGATATGAACAGGATATGGTGTTTTTCTGATCATTAGCATTCGTTGTGGTCATGGATGAATGCTTTTAAACACCGTAAAAGTCTGTTAGATCTCTGAATGATGTCCAAAAAAGAAGGAAAGAATTGGCTTCAGAAACAAGATCATGTTTCTGTCAGTCATTGAGTAGAATAGGAATCATTTTAAATTTGAACTAAAAATAAATTAGGAATGTGTCAGCTTGTAAACAGTTTCAATACTGAGTTGTATTTCCTTGTAAATCACTACACTTTCAGCTTTGTTAATAGACCAAGCATCCCCTTATGATTTATGTGCTCAGGGATGCTTGATATGTTTTATTCATATCTAAAAAGTTTTATACTATTAAAATATTGTAGCATGTAGTTGACCCTGGTTTCTAGAAGATTTTTTCAGCATACTGTAAGCTATGAAAGGAAAGTTTTGAGTAGGCACCCAACACAGTGTCTATTGCCTGAGGTCCAAACAGTTTATGTATGGAAAGGCTCATCTCCAGAAGGCTGAATACCAGTAGCTATTTTGTTTAATTTCTGTAACCCATGAAAAAAATATATTAAGTGTTGTGATTTATGTTGGTATAAAGTATACCCTACACTGATGAAATCAGGGATTGTTTAAAGTAACAAAATATTTAGACTTGCTAGTTATCCATAGATAAGATAAAAACACTGGTGGCATTATTTTGATAATGCAGTGAAAATAATCCTGAATCACTCTAGGATAATGACCCTATACCATCATTTTGCTTT